TCTGGAACAGGAGAACCTTGAAAAATGTTTTTTTTTTTAAAGTTCACACTGGTAAACATAGGCCAGATCAAGCCAACGTACCTTTTGCCAAAGTGAATAGAGCAATCAGCTTCTTTGACAACATCAACATTGTCCAAAAAAAGGGGGGGTTGCTGTCTGATGTGGATGTCGTTACTAGCTCTGTTATGACTCTTTGGTTTAGAAACTCTGGTTTAGGAGCTTTGCTTTATATAGTCAGATTTGTAAGTATTTGCAGAGCTTGTAAGCATTATTTTTTGGTCTACAATTCCCATAAATCCCCATGCAGGATGGAGGATTCTAGGAGGAGTTGTCCACAGAAGTCATATTCCAAGGCTTGGGTATATGTGTGATGACCCATTGATATCCTAGGACTTTGATGGGAAAACCTAGCTATAATGGCAAATTGGACACTGGAGATTACTCAAAATGAAAATTACTTAAAATTAGCTCCAGGCTTCAAGTTCTCCTGTCTTTTCTGTTTGGTTTTTAAAGCAGTTTCCTCGCAAGAGGCTTCAAATGGAACTGAAATTGCACCAAATCTGTACAAAGCATTGACAGTTAGTGTAATAGGAGAACTTGCCGGCACACTTCCAGAAATTGTTCACTGGCTGGGTCCCAAACAATGCAGACTTTTCTTTCTAAATAGCTCCATGGATTTCTTACCTTTAGAGAGTTGTCCAGTGTAGCAGTCCTAGTACTAAATTACATTACATAACACAGAATGTAATCACCTCCAGGCAATATGGGGAACACAATATGGGTTGGGCGAGAATCACCAGCTATTATCGGGCTCAATGCTTCCTTTAAAGAAAAGCACAATTTCATTTTCTCCCCCCTCCCCTCGTCCATTGGGAGAAACACTTTATAGTGCCCTCTTACTGCGCTTAGAGAAGAGAAATTGCACAAAGGGTTTAATTCCCCCCCGCCCCCCAAATGCTTTAGCCAGAGTCGTAGAGTATGCTCACTGGCTTTCTCCTTAGTCTGCATTCAATGCACTGGCAATGCAGCTTCTAAGGTTCAAAACAGGTGTACAGCAGAAACCTCTTCAGCTGTATACAGAATGACCAGAACCGATTGAACAGGCTATTTCTGTGACCTCGGAACTTAACATCATGATAGAATTTTTATGCACAATACAATTATGAGTGTGAATTTCCAAGCCTCTGTAAAATTCCTTTTAGAGACAGATAAGGAAATGAAACCATGCTCATGAGGTCTCTTCTCTCTCTCAGTGAGATGCACGCACGCATGCGCACACGCGCGTGCCCCAAATGCTTTAGCCAGAGTCGTAGAACTGTAAAGTATGCTCTCTGGCTTTCTCCTTAGTCTGCATTCAATGCACTGGCAATGCAGTTTCTAAGGTTCAAAATAGGTGTACAGCAGAAACCTCTTCAGCTGTGTACAGAATGACCAGAGCCGACTGAACAGGCTGTTTCTGTGACCTCGGAACTTAACATCATGATAGAATTTTATGCACAATACAATTATGAGTGTGAATTTCCAAGCCTCTGCAAAATTCCTTTTAGAGACAGATAAGGAAATGAAACCATGCTCATGTGGTCTCTTCTCTCTCTCAGTGAGATGCACGCGCACATGCGCACACACGTGTGCACACACAGGAATGCACACACACACACTTACAATTACCAGATTCTGACAAGACCTGTAGTTAAGCAAACTACCTCCACTATCTCAGGCAGCAGCAGCAATGTGTTGAGTTACCTACTTTGCTATTGCTGCATTGTCACTGCCAGGAATGGACAGCAGTACTTGTAGGATGTCATGCTTCACGCGCCAGAAGAACTTGGCTGGCTTTGGGAAATGTGTATCACAACTTGGATGAGGAGAAGCAAGGGGAGGGATTCCATGTGCTGCTGTGCCTCAGTCCAGCAAAATAATCCCAGGATTTCAGAAACAATGCTGTCATGTCTGGGTGCTGCTGCTCACACCTCCAGGCTTGTGTCCATGAGTGTCCTTCTGCCAGCAAAATGGACCAAATTTTTCCTTTCCCCAGCAATTCACTCTGCCTTTCCCAAATCTGTCCTGGAGCATTAAGTCCTCTCTCAAGAAGATTTAGGAAATGCATAGGAAGAAGACCCTTCCATTACATACGTGGAAATGTGTTTATGAAAGGTCGAGTTTCGTTTATGGGTGCCTTCTCTCCTGCCAACAGGTTTTTCAGCCCCAGGGAGGGTGTCGTTGTGAGCAGTTGTGTCATGTTAAATCCTGGGATTAATTGTTTGAAGAGGAGCGCTTCAGACAGACAGATGTCTAACTTTGGTTCAGAAATGTACAGCTAATGTTTTGCTTTTCCTCCCTCCTCTACTCCAAACCTTATCACTACTTCTATGTACCTGATATGTTACAGAAAAATAAGAAAATACCAAGTTCTTTTCTGACTCTGATTTAAAAGGAATATAAATACTCCAGACATATATGGTTTTACATATGAGAGAGACTTCAACTATAGCACCATCATGACTACAGGGATTAGAAGCAGTTTACTTTTCCTACCTGACATTAAACATGTTTACTTCAGAATAAACGGCATTTTATAGAAAAGATTAGGATAATCTAAAGTAAAAATGCTAGAATATATTGGCAGCCCTTGACAATTACATTTTTTGAAAAAAGAAGGAGAAAGAAAGGAGGAGGCTGTGGTCAGCACCATAATAGGTCCTTGTATGTCCAGGCCAATTTAGACTTTGTCTTCTGCTTCAGTCATCACCACAAAGGTCAGACTCTAGTTTGGTTACAAGGTCAAGCCATAGATGGACCACTGGTTTTAAGGACACAGGTAGGAAAAGCTGACGCTGCTGGAACTGCTACTGATGATAGGATCTTATAGTGCTGTAAACTCTTATGGGTGTGATCATGGAATCTCTGGCAGTGATTGGTTGAGCTGCCCAGTTCTCATGAAGGGACAGGGCAGTCCGAAGGGTCATTCCAGCTGTCTCCAGGACTAACTGCAAGAGTCTCTCAGTTCTGTGGCTTGGCCAGCTCAGATCCTGGAGAAAGGCAGACGAGGTGGAAAGGCAAAGGAAAAGGAGAGTAGAAGACATGGAACCTGGTGGGGTGGGGAGGTCACATGGAAATGAGAAGATGACAAGTCAAAGGAACTGGGAGTGGAGAAATGATGCAGAGGAGGACTCTGAGAAGGGAAGAGCACACATTGGAAGGGTACACATGCCCAGGAACTACAAAAGTAGTTTAAAAGGCTAACGAGTTTTATTTGGCATAAAGTTTCGTGGACTCTTGTGTCCCCAGGCTTAATTGTTCACAGACTAGTAAGGCAACCATCTGCACCCTTCTATATGGGCAGAGAGAACTTGGTTCATGTGTTGCAGCTATCCAACGTGGTTGCTTCCTCAGCCACCTGTACTCTTCCCCTTAGGAGCCCCTGCAGGTGGGTTTCTAACAGGACAGGTGCAGGAATATTGGTGGGCACACATGGTGATACAGATCCTCCAGGGCCAAGTTCCAAGGCTCCGCCATCTTTCTCCTTGTCTCTCTCACTGTGCCCGTCACTTTTGTCACACCAGCGCTACAAAAGGAGGAAAGCTGAAGTGTACATTTTGTTTTGACCAGTTGAAACTCTGGCTTGCAGGCCTTCTGGGTATCTTTCAAAGGCTTAGTGATAGTGAGTAGGATGAAATTGGGGGGAAAACTCATTTCATCCATTGTTTTCTAGTCTCTAGTTGTGTGCAACTGGTCTGCATTTGCTTGCCGCAGATTCCTGTGAATTCTGGAGGAGCAGAAGAGGATGGCAAGGCAGAGAGAAAAGCAAAGCATTCAGAAATTTGTGGCATGACTTGATGAGAAATATTCTAATCAACCAGGAAAAGGGATTTTTTTTTTAAAAAAAAAAGATGGGCTAACAACAACAATAGCAATAAAGACTCAGCACTTTACAGAGATCAAAATGAGACAGGTGGGGCTCTCACTTTAGCATTAAGAAACGCTACCTTCCCATATATGTTGATGGATGCTGAGCTGATGGTGCATGACCAGAAAAGTGAGCTCAGGGGTTGTGGTGTGTAGTTTGATGAAAATGTCAGCCCAGTGTAACGATGTTAGGAAGAAAGATTCTGTGCTGTATGTAATTAGAAAATGGGTTAAAAATAAAACTTTGCCTTTATACGCATTCTAAGTGTAGCCACATTCAGAATACCATATTTGGTTCTAGTCACCAGAATCACAAAAAAGGATGTTGCGGGGCTGCAAAAGAAGCAGCAAAGCTCTCCGAAAGGTGCTGCGTTACCTAAAGCCCCGGTAACTTAACCATGCCACTCCTTTTCTGGAGTAATTATAATTTTCTCATTACTTTCATTATTATGGGCTACGGACTGATTAAATGATGAAAGTGCTGGCTTTTGCTGCACCTCATTCCTTAAGCGCTGGCCTATGCTGGGCCTGGTACTGCTGCCTTGTGTTCGCTTGACAAAGAGGTGGATAGCAAAGGGCTGTGTTTACCACCACAGGCCAGTTCCTGGTAACATACAGATATGTTTTCAAAGTAATTTTGAAGCCATTTTAGTTACTTTTGAGAAACATGAAAATAAAGAGTTATTTTTCTAAAGGTCAACTCCCCCCTGTTTCTGGGGCATGGAACTATGCCTGCAGCTAGTGACAGTAATTTTCCATGCTCTGATAGAAATCTTGTACAGAGAACTGATGGATAGCTCAGTGGTTAAGCCTTCCAGTTGCAGAGCCAGAGGTTGGGAGTTCGATTCCCCAGTGTGCCTCCTTGAGAGGGGCTGGACTTGAGGATCCATAGCATTTCTTCCAGCTCTGTATTTCAAAGATGATTATGATAATGATACCAAGAGTGTTTGGTTTTCTTGCTGCCTCCTCTTTGTCACAAGTCTAAGTTGTCCAATCCAAGATGTCTGTGAGATCAAGACTATCCTAACCCTTTAGCTGTCTTGCCCTATTTTTCATTGTATTGACTCCTCCCCTCCATCTCCCCCATTGAACAGCTTCTCACAAATGCCTACAGCATCTGGGAAATATGAGACCAATGACAACATCACCATCTTCACCAGGATTCTGGATGGTCTCCTGGATGGATATGATAACAGACTTCGCCCAGGCCTGGGAGGTAAGATAGATTTTCCTCTTTGGAAGTGGAAGTCAGTGTACTTTTCTGAAGAGTGGATTCTTCCCTTCAGCCGCTGCATAGAAACAGCGGCACATTCAATTCATCTGTTTTGCCAGTGAATTGCATATTATCTCTTGAATTGCAAAATGGACAGTCAATTATCTAGAAATCTGACAGCAGCAATATGGTATGAAGTTGCATGTTCCTCATAGAATAATAACAAGCCTCAGAATTTTTAAAGATGCAGACTGTTGTGGTTTTTTGGCAGTCAAATCTCTGACGTAAAACTTGCAAAGTATATCCAAATCATTAAACTAGATGTTAATAGCAGCCCAAACTCCACTTGATTTTAATGACCTATATTTATTATGAAACTATCATTTTATGAAACCTAAAGAGAGAAAGGGAGAGAATCCTTGAATTGACAGCATGCTGTGTTGAAAAGAAAAATGTAATTACTTGATTAGAGGACCAGATCTCCAGAGGACATAAATTGGCAAGTCATAATTGAGTCATAAGAATAATAGCAAATGCAGCCACTTTGCAAAATGGCATCATGTTATTACATGTTGCAGTTGTAATTTTGACATTCAAGTTCTTTGCAAAGACATGCAGACAGATTAAATATGGTGCTTCGCTCCACTGATTAGCAGAAATGGGGAAAGCTGCTTTTTTTTGGTCTATAACTCCCAGAATCCCAAAGCTAGCATGGCCAGTCCTATGGTCAGCATGGCTCACCTTTTCCATAGAGATAGGAAAAGTAATTCTTCCCATCTGAATACTTTTCCCACAGGAATTGAAGAATTAATGTGAGTATGCCACTATCTGGCCAATAATGCTCTCCCATAATATCAGTGGAGAAACCATTCTGGGATTCCATTTCTGCATGTATAGGGAGATGTTCCATCTGTTGAAGCAGCCTATCTGCACCTCCTGGGTCCAATTTTGTATTATGTGTTTACTCCCACAGAGGTATAAAATGTCCTCTTTCACTTTGGTCTTGTAGAGCATGTGTGCAGGTCCTGCTACTTATTTCTGTTCTATTGCAACACATGTTTAGCACCAACAATGTCTTAGGTACAATACATAATGCAGACGTGCTGTGGGCATTCCTCAGATGTTGTATAGATTCTTAGAATCCTAGAACTGTAGAGCTGGAAGGAACCTAAACGTCACTGAGTCCCATTTCCCATCCATGCAGTCTAAAGGATCTCTTGGCAAATGGCCATCCAGCCTCTGAAGGTCACTGAGTCCCCTTTCCCATCCATGCAGTCTACATTATCTCTTGGCAAATGGCCATCCAGCCTCTGCTGGAAGACCTTCAGTGAGGGAGAGTCCACCAAACAACTTCAAAAGTACTCAATTCCATTGTCTAATACCTCTTATTATCAGGAAGATCATTCTAATGTTTAGTCAAAATCTCCTTACAGTGGTGCCTTGCTTGACAATGTTAATTCGTTCCAGCAAAATCACTGTAGAGCGAAAACGTCATCAAACAAAATGAAGAAAACCATTGAAATACATTGAAAACCCTTTAATGCATTCCAATGGGCTGAAAACTCACCATCCAGCAAAAATCCTCCATAGGGGCGGCTATTTTCGGGTGCCTGAATAGCGAAAAATGGCTCCTAAAAACAGCGGTGAGCCATTTTGAGCAACCGATGGCCATTTTGAAAACCCGACGATCATCATTTCGAGCAGCCAATGGCCATTTTGAAAACCCAACAATCAGCTGTTTTGATCATTGTAAAGCAAAAAATTGGTTGCTAAAGCAGGGAACCGATCATCGCTAAGCGAAAAAAACCCATTAAAACATTGTTTAGCGATTGCAATTACGATTGCAAAAACATCGTTGTGAAGTGAATTCGTCATTATACGGGATAATCGTTAAGCGGGGCACGACTGTACTTGTAATTTCAATCCATTTGGTTTGGGCTTTGCTCCTTGAGCCACCTGAAACTGGTTGCCAAAGCAGGGAACCAATCATCGCTAAGCGAAAAAACCCCATTAAAACATTGTTTAGCGATTGCAATTACGATTGCAAAAACATCGTTGTGAAGTGAATTCGTCATTATACGGGATAATCGTTAAGCGGGGCACGACTGTACTTGTAATTTCAATCCATTTGGTTTGGGCTTTGCTCCTTGAGCCACCTGAAACAATCTTGCTGCATCCTCCATGTGACAGCCTTCAAAATGACTACCATATCACTTCTCAAGTCTTCCCTTCACATCTTACCTGTCTCCCTCAGCTGCTCCTCATAGGGTTTTGATTTCCACACCCTTTCCTAACTTGGCTGTTCATCTCTGGACGCATTCTTTGTCAAGATCATTCTTAAATGTTGTTACTCAGAAGTGGAAGTCTGACCAAAGCAGAACAGAATGGTACTATTACTCTCCTTAATCTAGGCCAGTGGCCTCCAGCCTTGGGTTGCCAGATGTTCTTGGCGTAAAACTCCCAGCTGTGCTCGCCAGGAATTGTAGTCCAAAAAATTCTGGGCCCCCAAGGTTGGGAACCACTATACTAACAGTAGGATGATACAGCTAAAATTGCATCCCCCTTTTTTGAAACCACAACCCCTGTTGACTCACATTTAGCATGTGCTCTTCTAAGACTTCTACTACAGCCGTTCTGTCGGTACTATTAATGAGCCACAAGTCTCTTGTCCTACCTGATCTTTCACTCCCCAAGTGTAGACTTTTACATTTTTCTCTGTTGAGACTCTTTTTCTTTGGGCCCCATTCTCCAATCCTTTAAGGTCATCTTTAATTTTGATTTTGTCTTCTGAACTGTTAGTGAGCCCTCCCAGTTTGAAATCAACTGCACATTTGGCGAGTGTCTTCTCTATGTTTTCATCCAACTAATTTATAAAGATGTTATACAATACTGAGCCCAGGGCAGAACCTTGCAGCATCCCATGTGTCACATCTCCAGGTTGAAGTACTCATTGGCTGTAGTTCAGCAGCCAGCTACAAATTGGTCTAACAGTTGCGCCTCCAACCAACCATATTTTCCCAGGCTGGCCACAAGAATATGATGAGAAGACTCATCAGAACCAGGATACACTACATCCATTGCAGTTCCTTCATCTCTCAAGCATGTGACTCTATTAGTTAACATTATGTGTTTTCTAGAAAGGTATAGTGGCGGTTAGCAATCACAAGGCAGCAGTATCAAGCCCAACGTAGGCCTGTGAGTGGGCAAAGCTGATTACATGAGGAGAACTGTGCAGCATTTCCCCCTTCTATCTGGCCACCTGTCACATGGTCTGTTGATTGATGCAAAACCATTACCTTAACTAGAGGCAGAAGGACAACAGACAGCGAGCAAAGCGGGTAGGCTACTTGTTGCTTTCCCCTAACTGTGCTTCACAAATCCAATAGGCTTCTACCCACTGTTCTTTTCTACAGTCGGCAAGCTGACCAGCTGTTTAGTGATCTCTTCTAAAACTTCTTCCCGTATCAGTGTCAAAATGACCAGTTGCTAGTTGGCCAGATGTCCTTTCCTGCTTCTTTCAAAAGAGGGTGCTCATGTTTCACCAACTCTAGTCCTCAGGGACCTCACCTCTTCCTAAGAATGATCAAAAATTACAGACCAAGTTATGAGATCATAACTGTAAATTCTTTCTGTATATCTGTACACATCTGTACATTCTTTTGGGCACCGTTCATCTGCCCCTAGAATCATGAATTAATTTAAAGCAGCTAAGTGTTCTTGTACCACCACCTAGGCAACAGCACTAAACATTGATTGATTGATTGATTGATTGATACACGCACGCACGCACGCACGCACGCACGCAGGCACGCACGTACGTACGTACGTACGTACGTACATACATACATACATACCCCACCTTTCTCATTAAAATCAATATTAAAGCTAACAATGGCAAGTATATAAATACTTAAAAGAATCAAACAAATATCATTAAAAAAAAAACAAGCAACACCAAAACACATTAAAAGCAGTAAGGTACAAGAATCAATTTTAAAACCCCTCTTATGTAACCATTCATTCACGGAAAGCCTACCTAAAGAGAAGGTCTTCATCTGCTTGCAGAAGGACAGTAAAGATGGGGCCAGCCTAGCCTCTTGTGGAGGTGAGTTACGAATTCTTGGAGCAGCAGTAGAGACGACTTCTCCCATGTCCCCACTAAATGTACCTGTGAAGGTCGTGGGACTGAGAGAAAGACCTCTCCTGATGGTCTTAACCCTTGAGCAGCGAGATGTGGTCCTTGAAATAGCTTGGGCCTAAGCCATATGATCAGGTACTTCAGATGTGGGAAAACTGAAGGTGGAACTTCTGTTGCTTGTAAAGCAAAATAAGGGAGAGCCAGTTCGGTGTTTTGGTTCATGTGTTGGACCTGATTTTGGTTGACTGTGGTGGTCAGGATTCAGGTCCCTACTGAGCCACTGAAACTCCTTTGGTGACCTTGGGCCTGTTACCGTTTACCACCCTGACTTAACCTTGCAATATTGTAGGGGATGAAGGCATAGGAGGAGAACTATGTGTGTCACTTTGAGTTTATTGAAATAAGGTTCAAATTGAATGAATGATTAAATAGGAAACCTTTTCCTTTTCCTGTCAAAGAGCCATGTTCTTCTTTGTGTAATCATTCCAGAAGTGCCTGATAAGGATGAGACAGGCCAAAGCCAGCTGTGGGTGAAACCAGAATACATGCTCCAAAATAAATACTTTCAAGAGCTGTTCTTTGAGGGTGCAACAAGATTGATTTATGTGGCTCAAGAAAGCAAGACCCAATTCAATACAGTAAACTGAAATTACCAGAAAGGAGATTTTGACTAAGCGTTAGGAAGAGCTTCCTGACAATAAGAGCTGTTAGACAATGGAACTGAATACCTTGGAAGTTGAGTGCCCACCTCTTTTCACCACTGTTTTCCCTCCTTCTTGCCACTGCATGTCTTCCTCTCCATCTTTCCTCTCCTTCTTCGTCTAAACAGCCTCGGCTGCTGAGGAGGGACAGAGATTGAAACTGATCTTCCAGGAGTCTTAACTAATTTCCTGCAGAGGGCTTTTAAAATAAGGCTGAGGGATAAATTTGACCATTAATGAATTAGGGATTCTCTAGTAAGTTATAAAACTTGTGTGTTGATAAAGCAGCTCCTGATTTACAGCCTGCATTTCTTTGCCATAGAGAGAATAACAGAAGTGAAGACAGATATTTACGTCACTAGTTTCGGTCCAGTGTCAGACACCGAAATGGTAAGTTTTGTCACAGACTTTCAAAACATCTTGTTCTTGTGACTGGAGAATATTTGGAAGATCGACCCATTCTCACAAACTGCACAATTGTGTCTCTTTTGTACCAGGAATATACTATTGATGTGTTTTTCCGACAAAGCTGGAAAGATGAAAGGCTTCGGTTTAAAGGGCCAATGGAACGTCTCCCTCTTAACAATCTCCTTGCCAGTAAGATCTGGACCCCAGACACTTTTTTCCATAATGGAAAAAAATCTATCGCCCACAACATGACTACACCCAACAAGCTTTTGCGCCTCAAGGATGATGGGACCCTTCTGTACACAATGAGGTGAGGATTTTTCTTGCTGATTTCATTTGATTCTCCCTCTGCGGTTGGCCCTGTGTTCTTCAGAAAAGAGCCAAGGGGAAAAGGCTCTTATGCGTATTTATGAGAATATCAAAAGAAAGTGGGAAGCATAATCGCATTTCAGAAGTAGCAATTAAAGTGCTGCTTCTGAACAATGATTACTTTTTTTAAAAGAAAAGGTATTCTCTGAAGAGCAAATGATTCAGACTCCCCCACAAACCTTACCAAAGAGGAAAGAAAGAAAGAAAGAAAGAAAGAAAGAAAGAAAGAAAGAAAGAAAGAAAGAAAGAAAGAAAGAAAGAAAGAAAGAAAGAAAGAAAGAAAGAAAGAAAGCCTGTCATTTTAAGGATTTGTAACTGATCTGCTGATTGTGGTCTAAGCCAGAAGTCAATCTAAAAGATCAAAGACAAGGGCTTAAGGTTTGATACAGGGTTTTGTCAGGTTTTGCTTTAACTTTTGCAATTCTAATTTAATTAAAGACAGCATGGAATGGGACAGGAAAGAGGAGTTTTTTTAGCAGGTCCACTTTGCCAATCAGCCAAGACCTTAAATCTTTGTGAATTTGATCAATATCAGAACCTTTCAAGATTTTGCTTCTCTTGTAATCTTAGGAGTATTAGAAGGACTTGCTGTGGCATCACAGACATAATGTAAACTGCTGATAATGTAATGTACTGTATGCCCCCCCAACTGTCTGGTTATTTATTCATTATTTATTTATTCAATATTTATTTTACATATTTTCACCCCACCTTTCTCCTTGAAAGGAACCAGGGAAGCTTACTCTCACTGCAATTGAATGTCCCGCAATGATGAGGATGAAATACAAATCACATTGAGAGTCTGGTCACATGGGCAGAAACTCAGTGAATGATTGAAAAGAAGTGAGATGTGAACCATGTCCAAGTATCTGAACATGTTCATTAATGATCTGTGATGATGACAAAATATTCATTAATGATAGGTGATGAAGACAAAATTTGAAACTGGGTTCACTTATGATGTTGAACAAGTTGTCCTCCCATCTGAACACACCATGAAATTGTTTGGCCCTCAGTCATCAGTGGGCTTCCACATCACTGCTTCATTTAACATTCTTTCTTCATCCTCCAAAAAACACTTGGGAGTGACTGCAGTAACCAGAGACTTCTCTGTGTGGCTTCAATTCCTTTTTTGGATATTTGCTTGGCTCTGGATGTTGAGTTAGATGTGCCTCCAGAACTGTACACGACTGAGTTGCTAGATGGCATTAACAAGCCGTTCCATCTCTGCTCTTCACTTACAACATAGGGAATAATAGTACCAAAGGCTGGGAAATTTTATTTGTTTGTACTAAGGCTCCTGGAATCAAAATCTATGCTGATGTAAGGGCTACTGCGTACTAATGAGATCTACAACAAATTGTTGCAGGACGAAATTCTGTGTTTATCCTTCTAGTTAGCCATATATGGTATGCCCTTCTATTCTCCTGATTCAATAAGATCTACAACAAATTGTTGCAGGATGAAATTCTGTGTTATCCTTCTAGTTAGCCAACAAGGTCCTCCTATATGGTATGCCCTTCTATTCTCCTGATTTTCCTGTCCCTTTACTCTTAACATCTAGGTTTCCTTTAGCTACTGAATGCATTTAGCCTTCATACTTCTAAAGTTTCTTCCTGCTTTTGGAAACTTTGCAGTTTCTCTGAGCATGCTTCCCCCATCTTATGAATGGGCAATACTTTATTTGACTGTGTAAGCAACAGCACTTAACTTGGAACAATAGAAATGAAGGAATAGTAAGATACTTCAAGATTTTGTTTCAGAAAACGGTGCCCCAGCCCATTTTAGTCCGGTCTGAGCATAGAGTGCCCCCTGAATCCCTGCCATGATTTGGAACAGGGACGTACTCAATTTGCCTTTGGCTGCCTTCCTTCCACCCAATTGTGCTTTCTGTCCCCTGACTCCTCCTGAGGAACCCCGAGGATCTAGACAAGGATGCCTTAGAAGTGGAAGCAGGGGGAAGACTCTCTCAGCTTGTCTTAGAGCAGGAACAAGGAACATTTGTCCCTTCAGATGCTGATGAACTGCAAGTCCTTTCTTCCCTCACTATTGGCTGTGCTGGCTGGTATTGATGGTTCTTTTCTTTCAACATCTGAAGAACCGCATGTTGCTCACCTTGGCAAAGAGGTTCCTTACTGGACTCTCTTCCATGCACTGTTTTATGTTCTAAGCCTCCAGGCCAGATGCAGTGCTAGAGTGTCTACAGCTTCCCTCCTTCCCCTTCAGCCACCTGGGTCTACTTACCTTTTGGTTCCCTAAATATTTCTTTCACAATGGTATTGGCTGGGGTACGGGAGCTTCAGCACCCAGCAATATGGCATCATGTTTGGCCTCTCCATGCCTATACTTAACCATGCCTACTTAACCAGTAAGTCCTCAGTGGGCCAAGTCCTTGGCCAAAAGAACAGACAGATGCCACAAAGGCAGAATGCTGAAGACATGTTGTCATATGTGGCTGATGAAGAAGTGAAAACCACTACAAGCCAATTTTGTGCACATGTTGTGATTCTGTGACCTTGTAGCCCATTTCCGTTCCCTTTTGTTTTCTTCTCCCTGTGTTATCCTTCATGTTAAATAATAACATTTGAAGAATGGGTGTAACTACACTGAAAATGTGCAGCCTATATTACATTTGAAATTGCAATCAGTGGTCACATATTGGCTGTGGATTGATTTAGGATGCCATCTTTCATACTGGATTTGATATGAGTCACATTCCAGCCCACAACCCGACTTCTTTCCTTCCTTCCTCTGGTCCCACATGTGGAGCATAGCTGTGTACCTTCAGATAGCAAGTGGGGAACCGGGAGAGAATGCATATTTGAATATAAAGTGTTTTTGTAGTGTGCTCAAATCAAGCATGTTTGGAGTAGACTAGTATTTAGGGGTCTTGTTTCTCTCAAAAAAGGGAATGTGAAAAACTTTGACCTCCCACCTGAATGTGAAGGGGCACCACACACCAAGAAATATCTGAAACTTACTGAGTGGTTGAATATATGGCTTTTAAAATAAATGCAGTGTGTTAGTTGCTTCTTAAAGTGTCCACAGTGTCAGGTGCAGGAAGTCTGGGGTGAAACTTGAGAACTGGGAAAATTTGCAGCTTTCTCACTCTCTTCAAGCACCTGTGAAATCTGTAAAGCTATATGGACAGAAAAAGTGTGGGCAATACAGAAGGAAAGACAAAACAAAATCTGATTGATTTCTGGTATGATAAATATTAGAGATGGCTCAATTTGACTGTTTCCCATGCTCGTCTGTTTTAATCCTGAAGTACATTCGGTTGAATTTATGAAGAAATGTGCACCTTTATGTAGGTTCTTAACAGAACCTTCATGGGGATGGGGGTGGGATCAGTTCTGATTTGGAAACAAGATCATGGAGTTCAGAACCGTGAAACGGTGGTGGTGGGGGGGAGAGGACTGGAGTGGGGCAGAATTTAGACCGAAGAACTTTAGAAGTATCCTCAGTGGTGATCTTGGCTACTGGTTTTGTCAAATACAACATGCTATATTTGTCAGCTGCCCTAGATGAAAGGAAGATGGATTTCCACTTTATGCATCCTGTGAGGAAAAGCATAATGAATGTATATATTTAGAAAAGAGGCAAGAAAACGGAGCTGGGATGGGCTGGAAATACTCAAGTATTTAAAAGACAGAAAGACAAGTGTCTGGTTTAGGCAGATACTGAGCATGCTAACTAGATTTAGCTAGATTTGTGGTAGTCCATTGTTGGCATAAACAGTCTAAAGAGGGAAAGCAAGTTAAAGTGTTCAGTCAGATTCTGGAACCTGTTCTCCAAATGCAATAACATTGTTCTCTCTTGGCAGAGAATAGCTTTTGCTGTTGCATTTGGCTGGGGTTGCTGGGAAGAGTTTTGTTTCATTTAAGCAATCTTTGGGTCTGAGTCCCAATTCTGAGTTTGAGTCTTTGGTGGTATTATTATTATTATTATTATTATTATTATTATTATTATTATTATTATCATCATCATCATCATCATCATCATCATCATCATCATCATCATCATCATCATCATCATCATCATTTTATTTA